TAGAATAGAATAGAATAGAATAGAATAGAATAGAATAGAATAGAATATTAGAGTTGGAAGGAACCTTGGAGGTCTTCTAGTCTAACCCACTGCTTAAGCAGGAAACCCATTATACCATTTCAGACAACTGGTTATCCAGTCTCTTCTTTAAAACTTCCGGTGTTGGAGATTTACAACTTCTAGAAGCAAGTTGTTCCACTGATTAATTGTTCTGTCAGGATTTTTTTTCTTAGTTCTAGGTTGCTTCTCTCCTTGATTAGTTTCCACCCATTGATTCTTGCCCTGTCCTCAAGTGCTTTGGAGAAAACTTCAAAAAAAAATCTAGAATATTTTATCATCGTTCTAAATTATAAAACATTGTGATGATTTATAATCATGTGCAGTTATACAGTTACACCCACTAATCATCACATGAAATACTTTTGCTAATACAACTGTGGAATATTGCTTACTTAACTGTTCAGAAAATAATGGCCATACATTTTTAAATATTTGACCTTGAAAACATTTACTCAGGTTTAATGCTCCTGGTTGCTCAGCAATAAAGGCTACATCCCATGAAATGTTTATTTTAAAAGAAATTGCTGGTCTCCATTTAAAGCAAGGATCTGCAGAGCATTTGTTCAGTATGTATTTTAAAATCCAAAGATAAAAAATCTTAAGCCTCAAAATGTCAGTCATCATTTAAAAAAATTCAAGTCACATATCTAGGAATCTATTTAATTGCTATGTAACAGAGATAACTTGAAGATACTAATGACACTAATGAGAAAAATGTTTATTTTCTTGACTATTGTAAAATTATTATAATTTCAGCATGATAGTAATTGGAATTAGGTTTTTAGAATGTAATTGCAGACTTAAAAATGTATGAATGCTTACTGGTAACAGCTACATGACGGTTTGTTTTCCCTTCATCAATGACATCCATAACTTCTTCAGGACTAGACACAAATCTCTCTGTGCAGCCCTAGAAATGTGAAATTCAACATTTTTTTAGGCAAAACGTTGACAGGAAACAAACCTAAACCAGTAACTGTAGCTTAGCAAAAACCAGAGACAAAAATCAATTTATAAGCCTATATTAAAAGAACTGAAAAATTTCAGATAAAAACCAAGACATAGCTACAGAAGTACATAAGATGACCATGCATGGTGTATGGCCAATACCTTCATTGGTCATAATTAACCTACAACCAATCTAAAAAATCTACATGATTGCTCACAGAGATTTGTGCAGGCAGGGACCCTGATAAACAATTCCTAGAGGTGTGGATAACTGATTCTGCATTCAAGGATTCTTCTGCAGACCTATCTTACAGCATACTTTAGCCCTGTAATGGTGAACCTATTGCACACAATCCGTTGCCCCAGCTCAGTCCTGCTGTGCATGCGCACATGTGCTTCCCACTGGCCAGCTGGTCTTTGGGTCTCTGCCACGCATGCACAGGGGGCAGGATGCACATGTGGGGGTCGAGCATGCATGCGTGGGGGGTGAGGTGCACATGCAGGAGTCGCACACGCATGCATGAGGGGTGCAGGGGGGGTCCCGTGCACATGCTCAGGGCTCATGCGCACATTGCAATTTGAGGATGCACGCACATGCTTTGGGCACTTGGTGCCAAAAATGTTAGCCATCACTGCTTTAGGCTCTCACTATTCAAGAGAATGAATACCATTTTATCATGCGATTGGGAAAATGTACTTTATATCCCATTTATACATAGGCTGTGTATGTCTAGTTTGCTTTGGATATTTATGCATGGTTCTGACATATGCTGAAGCTTATACTAATAATAAACAGGGGAAAAAATCCTATAATTTGCATCATAATCATCATGCATTAATGGAACTGATAAATTTCAAAGGAATGATTAACAAAATGAACTTATCAAAAAATGAAGTTTTGGATAAAGGAAGTATTATCTACATAATTTTGATGAGAATATTATGGAAGAAAAATGAAGAAAGTCTCTCACACATTTAGTCAAAAGTAAATACAGGTATTCCCTCCATAAATGCATCCAGATTGGATTGGGGGGATTTTCAATACCATTCACAGTAGATTTTTTTTCCACAACTGTAATTCTAAGAAAGGAATTCATTTATCCAAAATGTGACTGGGTTCAGTCTCATGGGCTTGCAATCTAACTTCATAAAAATTGGGGAAAAGGGGGTGACTTGGAAAAACTGGATGAAAGCAGGAATGCTGAATTTGGACCCCTGGATAGATGATTGGGATGAATTTGTAGCATATGATGCATTAAGAGGCAAATATCTATCAGATGCAACATAGTGGAAATATTTACATTTGTTAACATCATTTGGACCAGCAGCATTCTCAGCACCCCAGACAGAACAACTGGCTAGTGTTTTTTTAAACTAAAAACCTACTATTAGTTTCTAGAAGTTATTTGTTATCTGTAAATCAATTTGATATACACATGTGAAGAAATGAGTGGCATAAGGAATTAGAGGTTTCTATATTGCTAACACAATGGAAGAGTGTCTTCACCTCTATAGCAAGAGTGCCAATGGATCTTAAGCTACAACTTATACAACAAAATATTTATAATTTAGTAAACTCCGTAATATCCATATAAAAAAAGGATTGACCATTACAGCATTTTCTTGAAAATGTAGGACAATGCTTTTTTTTTTAAACACATGTTTTTACAATGTCCTATACTTACTATGTTTTGGGGGGGAAATAGTGAGCTAATAGATGTGACTTTGCAATAAATGCTAAAATTTTCAGAAGACAATATTGTTTTGAATAACATACATTGGTACATGGAACTGGACAACAAAAAATTAATTCTCCAGGCCCTTACTATAGGGGAAAGACTGATATTACAACATACAAAAGATAAATGTATGACCCCATTTACTCAATTGATTGAAGATTGATTACATTTTTTACCTATGAAGACTGCCAAATAATAAGCATAATAAAAAGGAAGGATAAAAACATATGGAACATATTTATACAAAATGTGACAGGTTAAAAAAGCATGATAGTATGACAGACTGACAGACCAACAGATTGACAGACAGATAGAAGATAGATTTGCCAAATGTTTGCATTAGATAATTTTATATATATATATAGTTCACTTTTTAAGTAACTGTTATGTATATTTTTTATAACATGTGTATCTTTGTGTTTTGTTCCTCTTTTTTTACTTTTTCTATTACTTTAAAAGCAATAAAATTTATTTTAAATAATATAGGCAATCCTTGACTTCCACTGATAATTTGGATGGGTTGGAGATAGTGCAAAAGGGTGCTTGAGGGGAATGATGCAAATTGGGGAGGGTGCACAAGGATGCCAAGGAGGTGCGGCAAGGATTAGGAAAGGAGTGTGTGGGTGTAGGTGTGGGTATGGGTGTGTGGCTTGTGTAGTGCAAGTCTTCTACACATTAGATAGGCAAACTTCTCAAGAGTAATAAAAATGTTGCTAAATAAGACAACTAATTGTTTTGGAGTATGATTTTACCTATCAAATTCTGTTTCAGGAGGATAGATGGAGATGTTTTGATATTAAAATACTTTATGACGTGGGAGACAAGTTGTTATTTCAGGTTATCTGCTCCTAATTATCTGTCAAATACGAGATATGAGCAAACAAGTAAACATGAATTAGGTAAAGAATGAAAGGATCTATTGCAGGCTTCCAAAGCAGGCAATTCAGATTCTTCTTATTTATTGGCAACTCAAATAGTCCTGCTAAGCACTTTACTTTGCAAATCTCATTGTACAACAAATGAATTGTTCTTGAATGCTATGCCAGGTTAAACTAACTTAATAATCTTTTGATACAATTTTATCATTTTAACTTCTAATAGAATTGTTTTAATTAAAAATACTTTTTGTTTTGGAAAATGCACTAACATAAAACACAGGGCACGAAGGATCTTGAAAAATCAATCTCAAAGGACTTTTGAAAACATGCTGGGAAAAAAGAAAGATAGATGGAAGGAAGGAAGGAAGGACAGACTGACTCCTTAATTATATTCAGTAACTCTTAAATAATAATTTTGATGAAACAATTAAAGCAGCCTGATTTGCTTCAGTGAAGAAGTCAACAAGCTGAGCTCAGCTGAAAGCTTAGGGCTGGGTGGCTTTAGAATCAGAAGGTGACTGGCATGAAAGCAGCTTTTCCACACTGGTGGCTTTTCACAACCACTGACCTATTAGTGACTTATTGCGAAAGCCCAGCAATGTGAGAGGAGTTTTTCTGCACTGCTGGTCTCTTTTATCAAATGGTCAACAAAGGAGAGAATGCCAGAAGCACAAAAGGGGAAGTCATATCACATCACTGTCTTCTTTCAACTGCTTCCTAACACTTGGAGATAGTTCAACGTGGAGACACTCTGGGGTTTGGGATTGGCCACCTCCAGTACGTGCAGTAGGATAATCCCCACCAGAGGTGACTAACCTAGGAATCCTCTTGGTAGAAGGATGAAAAACACTTTCCTCAGCCTTTCTCCAAGCATGAGTTCTGCAAAAGAATGCTGAGAAGTCTACAAAGCAGACTCACGAAGAAATATGACAAAGGCTTTTATAGAAATTCAATAAAGAGGGTAAAAAAAAATATTCTGTAGAAATTCAATAAAGCATGCACTGAAGAAATATTGGAAAGGAACCATGTTGCTTCAGGAAGCAGTTTCAAGGATGTACTTCACTGGAAGATTTCATCAAAATGAAGACCCTTCGAAGCTACAATACAGAGTACTTGTTCATAGTCCATTAACGCCTCAGACAAACAACTGTTTAAACGAAAGGAATAATGGAATCTAGGAAGGAAGATTGTGGTTTGCAAAATATTACAGGGCTGTAATATCTGTCCTTTCCTCCCTTCCCAGGATAGAAAGCAACAATATTCATGCTGCTTTCAAAAATGGTCAGCAAGAAGATCAAAGAATCCTTGCACTATCAAACTTATGGATAAATGGGATGCTAAAATAAACTAAGTAATTCCAAGGATTCTATCACCTAACACCCTTTCCCCTTTACATAAATCCAGCTAATAAGAGCTTGAAAATCTAACACGCTTTTGTGAGCTGTGAGGGGATTAACAGAATTATAGTAGAACCTATGGACACGAACACTTCTGATCACGACCAAATCGGGTTCTAACCAAAAAATTCACTATTTTTTTCCCCGCGGCTGATTTCCCCTTCTGTGCCATTTTTTTTGTAAGCACCAAATTTCCAAAATTAGGTTCAGGTCACGACCCAATCGGGTTGTGGAATGAATTATGGTCGAGACCAGGGATTACTGTATTATTAAAGTACAGATTTTCCAGTTGATTAAAAACAAACTACTTCTTCCCTTCATCTGGAATCAGTATGACATATTGATGCATTGTTAGAGACATTCAGAGAAATTCACAGAAATAGTCTAATAGTAAACAATTATACTTAATCTTTAAGAGATAGACATCCCTAAACTTAATTAGTATGCTTTTTTATTTACACTATTTTGTATAATACTGTGACTTCTGCTTTGGCAATTTTATCATGGAATTATTCATTTTATGGCTTTGGCTTCTATTATTCGGGATCTCTTAATCTATTTGACCTTGAGCATATTTTTACAATTTGTTTTCAGTGACTACCTTGAGTTCTTAGTGTTAAGTGACCTTGGTTGTATTTGCAGAAGGGTGACATACATATTTTAAACAGAAAGTAAATGTGATCACAAACGAATTCAAAGAGCATTTGAATTAAATAATTAAAATGTTTTTTCTTTACCATTATAGGTACAAGTGCTTTTACCTTGACATATGGGACTCTGTTCTTGTCTTCATGCACTGCAAGATTCGTTTTTGAAACTGTAAGAAACATAAAGGACCATCAATTAATGATGTATATAGATTGAAAGACTGGGAATAAAGTCTGAATTAATTATAATTCAAACAGCTGTTTGAATTATAAGATGTTTTTTATGTTCCACATAAAAAAAATCTGTGATAGAGTTTTCATCTAGGATTTACATATTTCAAACCAAATGGGCTTTACCCTATTAGTTAAGTCAAGCTTTTCCAAATGGATGTCCTGGAAAACAATCTTTTTTTTTAAATCTATAAAATGAAATGCAAAACTGGAAATTGAAAGTAACAGAGAAACACAGCATTTTGCTATTCATATGTTGAACAAAGAACTGGGATTTAAAGATTTCTTCAACTATGCCATTTCATTCCTTTTAAATGGCTGCTACAACTCCTGGATGATAATTATATAAAGCTATAAAATGCTTCTTAAAGTAATCTATTTAAAGCAAAACAATTATGGAGATCACTCTCAATAATAAAGTAGAAATATATAGAAAAGAAAAGTTTAAAGATCCAAGTTTCCACTGGAAAAAACTGCAAAACTGGAATCTAGCTGAACCTTTCTGACATAGTAGCCCAAAATGGACTATTTGTTAAATAGGAATATTTATTGTTAAATAGGAATATGATACATAATAAGGATTTCATTAAGGTTGGTAACTTTGTCCACATATTCTCTATCTTACAAAAACCTGTTATGTGAAAATCTCAATTGACAAAAGTCAAACAAGGTGGAAGAGGTCAATATCTATTGAACTATTGGGGGACAAATAGCACATATGGAAGATTGCAATTTGGAGGGGCTCTTCTAATAAGGGACTTTATAGTCAAGCTTGATCATTGATCATCTCCCTCCATTGGAACAGATAATTCCCCTGATATTTGGACTATCTGGTGCATTGTAAACTACTCAATCTGCAAAAATGTATGGAAGAAAGAAAGTAAATATATGCACGAATGCTTGTTAAAAGGAGCCTCTAATAAAAATGTATTCAAGGAAATGAATCACAGATATAAATTTGTAGAATTAAGAGAAAGTGGGAGGACATAATAGCTTTGTATAAAGCTAATCTGATCTTGTGATATGGATTTGATAAAACACAGAAGCGAAGATGTAAGTTTAATTATGAATGAAAAGGCTAAAAGGCTCAAATATGTGATAGAACATAAGAATCGTTGACATCCACTGTGGATGCCAGTAGAAATCTATGGACTGAGATATTTTCCCATCGCCAAGGGGTTTATCCAGATGGGTCTCCCAATCATGTGTGGCTTTTACTTTTTTAGTTATTTGTTGTGTTTTTTATTTGTTCTCATGGATCCAAAATGGTTTTTAAATGGCACTTGGGGAATTTCACAAATTTCTGGCAGGCAACAGGGTGCTAAGCACTATTTTTCTGTGTTTAAGGTGTCTCCTGTCAAACCATAGATTTTTTTTTTTTTTGGCTTTATTATATTCTATGGAAGCTGCCAAGATTCATAAATTACAGCAAGATATAAATAAAAAAGTAAGTAAATAAATGCATGTAATACTTCAGGAAATTATAATGGAAGAACCAAATATGAATGCGTAGGAAAACACTACTACACTCTGAATAAAAATGATCAATAGGAAAAAGTTATTCTGCTAGATGACATGAATGGATCGGTGAGAATGAGATAAGACAGCACATTATTGGACCATTTGGAGATTGTGATTACTGGTAACTAAAAACGGCTTATCTCTTTCAAATACATGATTTAAACATAAATCTATTTATATATATATGAAGAATAAAAACATGTTAGATTAGATAGGTAGGTAGATGATAGATAGATAGATAGATAGATAGATAGATAGATAGATAGATAGATAGATAGATAGATAGATAGATAGATAGATA